CATCTTCCCTTGCTTTGTTTTCATGTACATCTTAGAATGCAGTTCCTCTGACCATTCTGTATATATATGAATTTCCTATAACGTATCATTGATTAGAAAAGCTTTAATTCTATATTGGTCTTTTTAAAAGAATTCATGCCGGGGGCACCTGGGTGGCTCAGATGGTTAAGTGTCGACTTTGCCTGAGGTCGTGATCTCAAGGTTCATGAGTTTGAGCCCCGCATAGGGATCTCTTGCTGTCAGCACAGAGCCTGCTTCAGATCCTCTGTCCTCTCCCTCCTTCTGCCCCTCCCTCACTCCCTCTTTCTCTCTCAAAAATAAATATTTTTTTAAAAATGTAAGAGTTATAGAATTCATATCAACTTACTGAAAACTGCATGTAAGGTTGACTATCACAACACATATGTGACATCTACTTAAACAGTAGGACTGAAGAACATGTGCTCAGCACATGCTTTCATTATGGTGAATATTCAACTGGGTAATAACAAGCAAATGAGTAACATGATTTTGTTGTAATTTTTTTACTTTCATACTTATATTTTTAAATGGAAGTGGATGAAACAAGATAGTGGTGACTTTTGGAACGGCAGTAACTACAAATAAGACCTTGAGTGGACTCTGTCCTCTGTTTTTTGATCTGGTTACTGGTTACATGGGTGTATTCATGCTATGAAAATTCATCAGGTGGCACTATTATGATACATGAACTTTTCTATGGGTATATTATACTCCAATAAAAAAGAAGAAATAAAAAATAAAATAAAATAAAAATAAAATGCAAGCAGATGTTTAGAGTTCACTAGTGATTTATCGTTTCTATTGCTCTTTTGTTCCAAGTATCTGGATTGGTTTAATTGACCATACTGGTCAACTGAGACTTTCAAAGCAAGATGATTAAAAAGTTCTCATTTGCAACATTTATGCAGTAAACCAAGATTTTTTTTTACATTATACAACAAACATAAAATATACAAACATATCAGAAGTCTGATGATAATACAAGAACTACAACAAAAAAAGAATGTAACAAATATCTGAGGTGCATAGGTGGCTCAGCCAGTTGAGCGTCTGACTCTTGATTTCGGCTCAGGTCATGATGTCACCACTCGTGAGTTTGAGCCCTGTGATGATCTCTGTGCAGACAGTGCAGTGTCTGTTTGCGATTCTCTCTCTCCCCCTCTCCCACTCACGCTCTTTCTCTCTCTCTCTCAAAATAAATAAACTTAAAAAAAAGAATATAACAAATATCTGAAACTTGAGATTTTAAAAAACTCAAAATACCATTACTGTTCTCACTAACTTTATAAATAAATATTATAAATGTAAACATTTAAATTTATACTGATAAAACACCATTTTTATCTACACAGAGAATAGTACATGAGATTTCATTTGCAGGTAAGGATTCCACTGCTTTACAAGTTTGAAAAGGCATGGTTCAATGTACATTAGAATTTTGGAATGTGATTTAACTTTTTCCTGCACAGAGGAAACAATGGAAAAGCGAAGTAAGACCAAGATCTCTTTTCTCCTACATGTTCCAATTTAACAGAATACTCTAGAGGGGCAGAGAAAATTATTTAATATTACCTATAGTATTACACTTTGTATCAACAGCTTTCATCCATTTATTAATAAGTTTTTATTAAAAACAGACTTTACTTGGCCTAGTAGCATTAAGTGTCACCATTATCAAATTCAGATTACTTAGGTTGTTAAATATGGTAAAAAATGTGGGATTTAAATTTTTATTGTTGATATAGCTATTACATATATTATTATATATTTCCTTATCTAGAAATAAAGTCATTTAGTCATAAACGCCTACGTATTTAGAGAACAGTTTTTCACTTTTACCTGTTCCTGTCATTTCATTATCAGTCATTTCTGGCAGGGACTTTGGCTTAGTTGCTCTGTCCTGTTCATCAAGGTTGACCTCTGCAACAGAGTCTAAGGAATCAAGCAGTACCACTAGAACAATATAAAAAAAAAAAAAAAATTAGAGGAATTGTACAGTTCCTTCAATTTAGTATTTTAATCATATGCAAGCTGTATAAAAACAAAGATATTTACATGTAAAGAGTATATAATCATATATCTGTAATAAGTATGATCACATTAACACACATAACTATACTTATATACAAATCTAATGTACATTTATGCGTGGGATGCAAAGGGCCCGTGAAAAATAACAAAAAGGTATTCTCCCCACCCCTTTTTGAGATATAGTTGAGATATAGTTGACAGTTAAAAATTTAGATATAGTTGACAGTTAAAAATTGTATATATTTGGGGCGCCTGAGTGACTTCAGTTGGTTAAGTGTCCGACTATGGCTCAGGGCATGATCTCATGGCTCCTGAGTTCAAGCCCTGTGATGGGCTCCGTGCTGACAGGGATTCTCTCTCTTTCCCTCTCTCACTTGTGTGGGCTCGCTCCCTCTCAAAATAAATAAACTAAAAAAATTGTATATATTTAATGTGTAAATTTGATGTTTTGACATATGTATACACTGTATATGTATACACTGAAATAATGACCACAATCAAGTTAATTAATATATCCATTACCTTATATAGTTACCTTTTGTGTGTGCATATGGTGACAACAATTCAGATTTCCCCTCTTATCAAATTTCAAGTTTTAAGTATAATCATGCTGTTGTACATTAGATCTCCAAAACTTTACTTCTCTTGTAAAACTGAAACTCTGTACTCCTTAACTAACATCTTCCCATATCCCCCTCCCCTAGCTCCTGGTAACCATCATTCTACTCTCATTTCTACAAGTGTAACATTTTTAGATTCCACATATAAAGTTTTTTTTTAATGTTTATTTTTGAGAGAGAGAGAGAGCGCGCGAGCATGAGCAGGGCAGGGGCAGAGGCAGACAGAGAGGGAGACACAGAATCTGAAGCAGGCTCCAGGCTCTGAGCTGTCAGCACAGAGCCTGACCTGGGGCTTGAACCCATGAACTGTGAGATCATGACCCGAGCCGGTTGGCCGCTTAACTGACTGAGCCACCCAGGCGCCCCTAGATTCCACATATAAATGAGATCATGCATGTGTGAACAAGACTAACATGACACATCTGCCATGATAACTTTTCTGTGACCTGAAACCTTCTTGAGCACAGCTGCCTTCCAACATCAACATTCTCTCCTTTTCCTTAACCACATCCTTAAGAACACTCTTGGGGCATAGTGTTCTTGATCTGCCCTGGAGATAGGACTATGACCCACACCAATTTTTTTTTTAATGTTTGTTTGTTTGTTTGTTTATTTAGAGAGCGTGAGCACTCATGAGCAGGGGGAGCAGGCAGAGAGAGAGAGAAGACAGAACCCCAAGTAGGCTCTTTGCTGTCAGCTTGGAGCCTGACACAGGGTTGATCTCACGAATGGTGAGATCATCATTGGAGTCAAAATCAAGAGTCAAAAGCTTAACTGAGCCACCCAGGGACCCCCCCAAATGTTGAGTTTTAGCCAATATCCTTATTACTGTTTCAGAGGAGAGGATTTGGGAATTTCATACTCATCCATTCCTACACATGTCCTATTTCTTTTGAGTGAGCTTTTGTAGTTTTTATTTTTATTAGTTTTTTTAATGATTTCAGGAATGAATTTAGTGTTTCATCACTTACATACAACACCCAGTGCCATCCCAAAAAGTGCCCTCCTTAATGCCTATTGCCATTTAGCCCATTCCCCCACCCAACACCCCACCAGCAACCATTAGTTTCTGTATTTTAGAGTCTCTTATGGTTTTGTTTCCTTCTCTGTTTTTATCTTGTTTGCTTTCCTTTTCCTATGTTCATTGTTTTGTTTCTTAAGTTCCACATATGAGGAAATCATATATTTGTCTTTCTCTGACTGACTTCACTTAGCATAATATACTTTATTCCATCCACATTGTGGCAAATGGCAGGTTTCATTCTTCTTCACCACCAAGTAATATTCCATTGTGTGTATGTGTATACACACACACACACACAATATCTTCTTTATCCATTCATCAGTTGATGGACATTTGGGTTCTTTCCATACTTTGGCTATTGTCAATAGTGCTGCTATAAATATTGGGGGTGTGTGCCCTTTCAAATCAGCATTTTTGTAACTTTTGGATAAATACCTAATAGGGCAATTGCTGGGTTGTAAGGTAGTTCTGTTTTTAATTTTTTGAGGAACCTCCATACTGTTTTTTAGAGTGGCTGTACCAGTTTGCAATTGCACCAGCAGTGCAAAAGAGTTCCCCCCCTTTCTCCATATCCTTGCCAACATCTGTTATTAATTTTAGCTATTCTTACAGGTGTGAGGTGGTAGCTCATTGTGGTTTTGATTTGTATTTCCCTCATGATGAGTGACGTTGGGCATTTTTTTTCAGGTGTCTGTTAGCCCTTGGATGTCTTCTTTGGAAAAGTGTCTATTCATGTCTTTTGCCCATTTCTTCACTGGATTGTTTTTTGGGTGTTGAGTTTGATAAGTTCTTTATAAATTTTGCAAACTAACCCTTTATCTAATATGTCATTTGTAAATATATTCTTCCAGGCCTTTTAGTTTTGTTGATTGTTTCCTTTGCAGTGCAGAAGCTTTTTATCTTGATGAGGTCCCAATAGTTCATTTTTGCTTTTGTTTCCCTTGCCACTGGAGACATGTCAAGTAAGAAGTTGATGCAGCTCAAAGAGGTTGCTCCCTGTTTTCTCCTCTAGGATTTTGATGGCTTCCTGTCTTATGTTTATGTCTTTCATCCATTTTGAGTTTATTTTTGCGTATGGTATAAGAAAGTGGTCCAGGTTCATTCTTTTGCATGTCTCTGTCCAGTTTTCCCAACACCATTTGCTGAAGAGACTGGTTTTTTTCCATTGGATATCCTTTCCTACTTCATCAAGGATTAGTTGGCCATAGATTTGTGGGTCCATTTCTGGGTTCTCTATGCAGTTCCACTGATCTATGTGTCTGTTTTTGTGCCAGTACCATACTGTTTTGATTACACTCTGTAATACAGCTTGAAGTCTGGAATTGTGGAAAACCCAAGAGACTCCACCAAAAAATTGCTAGTGCTGATCCATGAATTCAGCAAAGTCACAGGATATAAAATAAATGTACAGAAATCAGTTGCATTTCTATACAACAATAATGAAGCTGCATAAAGAGAAATCAAGGAATCAATCCCATTTACAATTGCACAAAAATCCATAAAATATCTAGGAATAAACCTAAACAAAGAGGTGAAAAGATCTATACACTGAAATCTATACAAAGGTTGTGAAAGAAATTGAAGACATAAAGAAATGAAAAACATTCCATGCTCATGGATTGGAAGAATATTGTTAAAATTCAATAGCACCCAAAGCAATCTACATATTTAATGCAATCCCTATAAAAAAAAAA